GCCTGTTCTCTCCTGCAGAGGAGCGTCCCATCTCAGGCCTGGCCGCCGCCCTCGCTGGAGCCAAGCTGCGCAAAGTGCAGAGGGTGAGCTCTGATTGGTTGCTTGTTCCCACTCTCACAGCTCTGCAAACGTCACATGATGAGTGTTCAGGCGAGCAGCTAGACATACATCATGTCTGTGTGTCTTCTGCAGCTCAGATACACACACTTCATCTTCATGCACACAGCATCAACTTCTGTCGCATCTCATCTCAGAGGACTTTGCATGCAGTTCTGTCAACAAAAACTGAAATCAACCATACAATTTTCATTATTTTTTACTTTTCTGATATAAAATAAACATAACAAGGCCATCAGGGCTGATACTTCCCTCTGTAAAGAACTTTTTGTGTGTGTTTGTACCCTTTAGAGTGATGATGCAGGCACTTCTTTGGCCGCAGCCATGTCGGGGGCTGGAGGGCCCGCAGGGGCCAAATCTGAAGTCAGAGGCAACGGCCCTCTGTCTGGAGGAGGCGGGCTCATGGAGGAGATGAGCGCCTTGTTGGCCAGGAGGTAGGGTCACTTCCCAAAAACTGCTGATTCCACATGATGAACCTTTAATAACAAACATCATATTTTATCTCAATGTTACTGGTGTATTTCGGAAATGTCAAGAAGAGGAGGTAAAAATAAAAGACTTATAAGAAGAATAATGAGCGCTTTGAGCACCAGGAAAAGCGCTATACAAATAGCATTTATTATTATTATTGTAAAAGGACTGCAGATGTCAGCATTATTCATGCAGAGGTTACAGTCACAGTATGTAACCAACACCCTCTCAATAAGGACCTTACCTGATTTCACACTCTACCGTGATTATATTTGGACTAATGGCTTTACTCAAAATGTTTAGTGTGGTGAATTATGTGATGTGGACCCCCTTCAAGTGTCTGGCCTTTATTTGTTATAGGAGAAGAATTGCAGATAAGGGCTCGTCCCCTGAACCTGACCAGAGATCAGTGAGTATCGTCTGTCTTCTCTCATGTCATCTTAATATCTATATGATGACCAGTGTCCTTGAACACATCCATTAATTAATCAATCAATCAATCAATGTTAATTTATATAGCCCAATGTCACAAATGTCACATTTGTCTCAGTGGACTTCACAATTTGTACAGAATATCAGTATGACAATACGACACCCTCTGTCCTTAGACCCTCACATCGTACAAGGAAAAACTTCCAGAGAAAAGAGGCACAACGTGCCTACGTACATAGATAGATAGATAGATAGATCTTTAATTTTGTCATTGTACAGGTACAACGAAATTACAATAAACTCAAGGTGCCAACGTGCAACAACAAGACAATATAAATACAATAAGACAATATAAAAACAAGACATTATAAAAACAATACAATAAATGGGATTTAAAATAGACATGATGATAGGGAATATGTACATAAATAAATAAATAATAAATTAAATTGCACGATTCCCCTCGTATTGCACGGAAGGCTTATATAATTAAAATATTAGCAGCGTTTAGTGCACATATGGCCCTGGGAAAAAAAAACTGAACTTGAGTCTGTTTGTCCGGGAAGACATGGTACGGAAGCGCCTGCCTGAGCGCAGCCGTACAAAGTGCTCGTTACCCGGGTGGTGTGGATCACATGCACTCCCTTAAGATAGGTTGAGGGAAAAGGGTAGCAAGTAAGAAGTAAGGAACAGAGGTAGAGAAGCAGAACATGTCTACGTACATGCCCTCCCTTAGGAGTTTTTTTTTTTAAATAGCCATGGCCCCCACCCCCCTCTGAGTGACAAGCTTACAGTTAGCTGTCTTTGTGTATTGC